AGTAATCAAAGATATAAAATAATAAAGATTAATCAGCAAGTAATCAAAGATATAAAATAATAAAGATTAATCAGCTGGTAATCAAAGATATAAAATAATAAAGATTAATTAGCTAGTAATCAAAGATATAAAATAATAAAGACTAATTAGCAGTAATCAAAGATATAAAATAATAAAGATTAATCAGCTAGTAATCAAAGATATACAATAATAAAGATTAACCAGCTAGTAATCAAAGATATGAAATAATAAAGAATAATCAGTTGGTAATCAAAGATATAAAAGAATATAGATTAATCAGTTGGTAATCAAAGATAAAAAATAATAAAGATTAATCAGCTAGAAAGCATAGATATAAAATAAAAAGATTAATCAGTTAGTAATCAAAGATATAAAATAATAAAGATTAATCAGTTAGTAATCATAGATATAAAATAATAAAGATTAATCAGTTAATAATCAAAGATATAAAATAATAAAGATTAATCAGCTGGTAATCAAAGATATTAAATAATAAAGATTTATCAGCTGGTAATCAAAGATATAAAATACTAAAGATTAATCAATTGGTAATCAAAGATATAAAATAATAAAGATTAATCAGTTGGTAATCATAGATATAAAATAATAAAGATTAATCAGTCAGTAAAAAAGATATAAAATGATAAAAATTAATCAGCAGTAATCAAAGAATAAAATAATAAAGATTAATCAGCTAGTAATCAAAGATATAAAATAATAAAGATTAATCAGCTGGTAATCAAAGATATAAAGTAATAAAGATTAATCAGCTAAAAATCATAGATATTAAATAATAAAAATTAATCAGCAGTAATCAAAGATATAACATAATAAAGATTAATCAGCTGGTAATCAAAGATATAAAATAAACAAGATTAATCAGCTAGTAATCAAAGATATAAAATAATAAAGATTAATCAGCTGGTAATCAAAGATATAAAATAATAAAGATTAATCAGCTAGTAATCAAAGATATAAAATAATAAAGACTAATTAGCAGTAATCAAAGATATAAAATAATAAAGATTAATCAGCTAGTATTCAAAGATATACAATAATAAATATTAACCAGCTAGTAATCAAAGATATAAAATAATAAAGATTAATCAGTTAGTAATCAAAGATATAAAATAATAAAGATTAATCAGTTAGTAATCAAAGATCTAAAATAATAAAGAAAAATCAGTTAATAGTCAAAGATATAAAATAATAAAGATTAATCAGCTGGTAATCAAAAATATAAAATATTAAAGATATATAGATATAGATATAAAATAATATAGATTAATCAGTTAGTAATCAAAGATATAAAATAATAAAGATTAATCAGTTGGTAATCAAAGATATAAAATAATAAAGATTAAACAGCTAAAAATCATAGATATTAAATAATAAAGATCAATCAGCTAGAAAGCATAGATATAAAATAGTGAAGATTAATCAGCTAGTAATCAAAGATATAAAATAATAAAGATTAATCAGCTGGTAATTAAAGATATAAAATAAAAAAGATTAATCAGCTGGTAATCATTGATATAAAGTAATAAAGATTAATCAGCTAGAAGGCATAGATATAATATAATAAAGATTAGTCAGCTAGAAACAAAGATATAAAATAATAAAGATTAATCAGCTAGTAATCAAAGATATAAAAAAATAAAGATTAATCAGCTAGTAATCATTGATATAAAGTAATAAAGATTAATCAGCTAGTAATTAAAGATATAAAATAATAAAGATTAATCAGCTAGAAATATAGATATAAAATAATAAAGATTAATCAGCTAGTAATCAAAGATGTAATATAATAAAGATTAATAAGCTAAAACTCAAAGATATAAAATAATAAAGATTATTCAGCGAGAAATCATAGATATAAAGTAATAAAGATTTATCAGTTAGTAATCAAAGATATAAAATAATAAAGATTAATCAGCTTGTAATCAAAGGTATATTATCATAAAGATTAATCAGCTAAAACTCAAAGATATAAAATAATAACGATTAATCAGCTAGAAAGCAAAGATATAACATAATAAAGATTAATCAGCTGGTAATCATGGACATAAAATAATTAGGATTATTTAGGTAGAAAGCATAGATATAATATAATAAAGATTAATCAGCTAGAAACATAGATATACAATATATAAATAATAGCTAATCCTGAAACTCCCCCCCCCCTTCATTTTACTGTTGTTAATGTATGATTTAGATTTATAAACATTTATTTTGATTATGAATTGAAGGTTTTCAATTCTGACTTTTTTAAAACAAAGTTGTATCAGAAAAAATGCTTTTAATACAAACATTTGGGTTTTAGTTTTTTTCTGATTTTTACTTTAGAACTTATTTCCAAAAACTTTCTTTATCTTTCTTTTAACTAGCTGACAGATTGGACTTTATAAGGAGCAAAGAAAACTCTTTCTATTTTGTAATTATCTCAGGATTGTTGTCACTATACTCAGTGTTCTCAAACTTAAAATTATACAAATATTAAAAAAGGTTCATTTGAAAAAGTGCATAAAAAATATTTGCCAAAAAGTTATGCAAACAAGATAAATTTTACAAATATAAAATATTATAAAAAATATTTGCAAAATTTGAAAAAAATTCCCTTACAGTAGAGAACAAAATATGTATTAATATACACCATGAAGGAGTGTGTGCAAAAAAAAATCTTGCAAAATTTGGACAAAGGGTGGGCATCAAATTATTGGGAAGGGGGGCATTTTCCTTGCTGATCTATAAAAGTTGACTGTTGAGGGGTAGCGTTTAAGGAAAATGTTCTCATTTTCATTTTACGTTTTACATTTACATTTACATATTCCAGAGTAATGGTCATGGAAGGAGGGTAGAATCTTATATATTCAAATTGAGATATAAATACATACATTTAAGGATACTTCATACATATATACATACACACAGACAAATATATTTCAAGAAAATAATATTTTTCAATTTAAAATACAGAAAGTAAAAAAATTGACGTAATTAAGTTCCAAGTCACATTGTCAATTTCGGATTTTGAATAGATAGATAGATAGACAGTGCATGAATTAATACTATTATTCCCATATGGATGTTTGCAACTTTGTCTGGGTTTGAATTAAATAAATGGTGAAAGTTCCAACATTGTTCCCTCAATCCTTATTAACACATGACTGGCTTAAGTGTGGAAACTTTTGGATTCAAACCCAGATTCAATAGTTTTGAGACACATCTCAAATAGAAATATAAGTTGGATTCTCATTTTTCTCATTTTGAACCTTTTTTCGGTGTTATATGAAGACTTATTTAGGGTACACAATACACATGCAGATGACCATGATCATGGTCATTAACTCATGCTTATTTGACTTTTTAAATTCATAAATTGAGTCTAAATGTCGACTTTTTATTCCAGAGTTTTCTGGCGTTCACTATAATACAAAACATAAATTTTTATAAAAATAAGATGAACAGTGTAAAATTTTACATTTTAAACTTGTTGAATTTGTAATTTATTGCCACCTTTTATGTACATTTAGAATACAGAAATTCAAAAGATTAATGTCTACCCATTTTTTTATTCTAAACATTTAATACAAAACTTTTTTTTTAAATGACAAGGAAAAAAGTAATATTTTTTATAGTTACTCAAAAAAATTATTTTTAACACTGATGTTCTTTCAATAAAAAATTAATATTTTTTTTCATCCCAGATTTTTATCATTTCAGATGGAGGACAGATAATAAAATGTCATCAGGGAAACTTTTCATTTTGTCTTAAGGTAGAATCTGAGAAAATTAAATTAATTAAAAACTTTTTAATTTTCCAAAGAAATAGTTTTGAGTGCATTGTGGCAAACCCGATTAAATAAGTTAGTATTATAAGTTAATAAATGTTCAAAGTAATATAATTGCGCCAGAAAAAAAAGGCAAAATGCATCAAAAGATATCAATAATAGATTTATGAAAATAGAAATAATGATGATATTTTATTGACAAATATTCAATATATAATCCGATATAATTCAAATATCCATATTCCTTAAATAATTTAAAGTACGTGTTCTTTTTTGTAATTATTATTTTTATATTATTATTTATTTCAGTCTAAGAGTTATCGTGAATTCAGTTTAAATGTTTAGATTATGGACAGAAGTAAGTTGAATACAAACATGACCATGACCATGACAATGACAATGACCATGATAATGACAATGACAATGACCATGACAATGACATGACAATGACCATGACAATGACTATGACAATGACCATGACAATGACCATGACAGTTACCATGACAATGACCATGACAATGACCATGACAATGACAATGACAATGACCATGACAATCACCATGACAATCACCATGACAATGACCATGACAATGACCATGACAATCACCATGAAAATCACCATGACAAACACATGACAATCGCCATGACAATGACCATGAAAATGACCATGACAATGACCATGACAATGACCATGACAATCACCATAACAACCACCATGACAATGACCATGACAATAACTATGACAATAACCATGACAATAACCATGACAATGACCATGGCAATGACCATGACAATGACCATGGCAATGCCCGTGACAATTGTAATGAATTATGTAATCATGCTAGTAATATCCTATTTATCTATTTTCGTTTATCTATCTTATCATGTTTCATGTTTACCCTTACTGGCCATTACGGTCAGTTTAATTTCACCTGTATATAAAATAACTCAGTTCAATACGATTTGTCGTTTAATACGGACGTATACATAGCCTTGAGTTTTGGCTAAGGATAGAGAGCCTTGAGCTTTGGCTAGAGATAGAGTCAGATAGATTCTAATTAGACTTTGTGTAGAGTTATCATTAAAGTATCTCGCATCTAGATTTCTTACACAATCACCATGACAATCACCATGACAATCACCATGACAATCACCATGACAATCACCATGACAATCACCATGACAATATTGTATTGTCTCAAGTAAGTATATTGTATTGTCTCAAGTAAGTATATTGTATTGTCTCAAGTAAGTATATTGTATTGTCTCAAGTAAGTATATTGTATTGTCTCAAGTAAGTATAAATACCATTTTTACATAACATGCATATATTTAATATTTACATTATCATAATTGAAAAATTAAAATAAAAAAAAATTCAATGGTTGTTTCGTAGTTTGAAAGAAATTTAGATTTTCATCATGAAAAGTAAGAATTAGTTAAAAATAATGAAATTTCCTTCTATTTTATAAATAATGATCTTAATATTTCACAGATTTTACTTTTTAGCAAAATAGCACATTTTAGCGAGAAAATTGAACTCTTTTATTTCATTTTCTTCAATGTGATTTGATCTTTAAATTATAATTTGCTGATTATCTTTCGAGGCACGATCAAAGGTAGTTTCTTTGTAAAGAATTAAATTAAATTTTTTTTGCGTTATTTAATTAATTAATTCAAATTGGAATATTCTTGTTCATGGATTTTATAATTTTAGGACAAAAATTATATCAAAATATGTTTTTGCCAAATAAGCATATGAAAAGAAAAGTATATAACATATTTAGCATAATTCTAGGCGAGTTTTTTAAAGATCTTAAAAATTTCTTAAACATTTTTTCTTTTTATAATGAATTATTAATTTTCTAACATTTAAGTTTATTTTGCTTGAATAACAAACTGTTGTGTCACAAAGTTGACATTTTTAAAATAAATTATTAAAACACACTTTATTCTTGACAGTATTTTGTCTACAAAGTAATTTTAATCAATCCTCACAAGTGACAGGAACTAAACACTCGCAACAAACTCTTATTTTCTTATATTTAATCTTTGCAACCTGATGTTGTCAATCTTAGTTTTTAAACCTTTTCAGAAAGACATAATTTTCAACTCTTGAAATATCAAGATCTAAAACAACATGTTGCAAAGATATAAGGAGTTAACATTAATGTTTGTGTCTGTTAACTTATTCCTGTAAAAAATTAAAAATAAAATCAAAAATTATATTTCTTAAAGAAGCTGTAAGCGTAATTTGAAGTGACCCTGTTTGCAAAGATGGCAATGCCCGATTTCAAGAATGAATTCGATAACCATGTTTATTACTTTGAAAATTGGTTATCTTCAATTGGGGTTTCTCTACAAAAGTGATTTTCGCATATCTGTACTGCAAGAAAACCATATAGAAGTTATCAGATTTTCGCATATCTGTACTGCAAGAAAAACCATATAGAAATTATCAGATTTTCGCATATCTGTACTGCAAGAAAACCATATAGAAATTATCAGATTTTCGCATATCTGTACTGCAAGAAAACAATATAGAAATTATCAGATTTTAACACTTTTAAAAATAGAAAAAACAACAATACTATCTTTCACATTAATGATAAGATGAAAATTTCTAGGGTGACATTATGAATCAGGCATTGCCATCTTTGTATGGAGGGGTACTTTAAATTACGCTTACAGTCCCTTTAAACCATTTTTCCTTCAGGATCTTAGCCCTGTGTGAGTGCTCGGTTGAAGAAAAACAAAAGGAAAATTATCTCCCAGAAATTGGCAATTTTTCTCAAAAATATAATTTTTTCTTATTTTCTTATATCTTCAAGTTAACATAAGATATAATAGATTAGGAAGACATTTCAAGTTTTGAAACACTTTATTGTCGCCCAAATTTCTTTGATTTTTTGGGACCACGTTTCCAACCAAGGAAAAATGCATAAAAAACCTTCAATTTTACAAAAAGAGTTTTAATTTGAAATAATAAAATTCGAATGAAAAAAATGTGCATAAAAACTGCAAACCAAAGGGAAAAATCTTTCTCTCTAAATTTAAAATTATTATTCTTTTTTTTTAAATCATTAATTAAGAAAAAAAATTCCATCGGAGATTTGTTTAGGAGCCCAGGTGTGCAGCAATGTTTTTACTTTCTAAAGGGATAAACTTCTTTTTAAAATAAGTCAAAGATTAAATTTATAAATACAATTTAGGGAAAAAACAAAGCTAAGTTTACAGAATTTCAAGTGTTTTCCATGCAAAGATTGCAATGTCCGATTCACAACAGAACCCTTTAAGATTTTCTTTAACGTTGAAAGAAATTATGCATCATGACCTTTAAATTAGTTAATTTTTTTTTCTTTTGCTTTTTCTCAGAAAAGTTCATTTCCTTCTGTAAATTACATTTTCAATTGGTTTGGTCAAATTCAATCAACTTTACTTTATCTGGGAGAATGCAATAGATTTACTCTAATCTAAGATTAACTTATTTTTTTTTCTTTTCAAAAATTTATTTATTGAATTTCAAAAATTCTATAACTTCCAATACTTGTATGGTAAGATTCTAGTATTTAAATGTCAAAGAAAATGTAAGATTTCACGGTTTTGGTCAGCAACACACTAACTCTTGAATATATAACGGAATGTCTTCATCCTTCTAAATATTTGGTCACAATCAGTTTACTCGTTTTAACGTTTATAAATTATAAGAATTAAAAAATCAATAATCCATAAGATTATAATTAGAATATAACTTTTTCAGAAATTGTTCGAGAAAGTTCTGCAATTATAATAAAAATTGAAAAAAACTATATTTCCTACCCATATATCTTCTATTTTCCTCAAAAAATTTAAATTCCTAAAATTTTTTTCAAAAATCATTGTTGCTGTTTTAAATTGAAGTATGGGACTGAATAGTAACTTACTTTTATTTTGTAGATTTGCTTGAATTCCCCGCATATTTTATAGAATGATTTGCTTGAATTCCCCGCATATTTTGTAGAATGATTTGCTTGAATTCCCCGCATATTTTGTAGAATGATTTGCTTGAATTCCCCGCATATTTTGGCTTCTCACCAATTTTGATTTACAACCAACAACATAAAGATAAAATTTAGAAATGCTTTCGGTACACAGATTTTAAAAGAACTTTAAGCGCAATTTAACGTGACCCTCCATGTAAAGATGGTAATGACCAAATCATAAAGATCCCAATTCAAGCTTTGTATGATCAAGTTTGTATTATATCTCAAGTTTATGATTCAGAATATCTACAGATTATTATTATTATTTTCAAATGTGATTTCTCAACAAAAGTTACTTGAGCATATCTATACTGCAGGAAAACGTATAGAAATTATAAAAGTAGAAAAACGACACTATCTTCCATATTATTATTGTGATAAAGGTTACAAGGGTACAGTTGTAAATCAGGCATTATACAATATTTGAAGGAAGGGTCATTTGAATTTACGCTTACAGTCCCTTTACACGTGACCAGTTTACTGCACTGTCATTGGTGGGAGTTCTGGTCACATGATACAAACTAAATTTCAGGATTTTTTCATATTTTAGCAACGTATTGTATGGTTGGTGCCATAAATGTCGGGCAAACTTTCAGCAGGAATACAAAAAGGTTGTTGGGTAAGTGATTAATAAGTTAATAAGTTTTTAAAGGATTGGTTTTTTTAAATACTATTTTGTCGAGAATGAGTTTTTTTAGTTTCTGGTTTTTGAAGAAATAAGTTTATTTGATAAATAATATTAATGTATGATTTACTATTTACTATATCTTTGCAGCCAAATGTGTAGACCTGAGAAATTTTAAACTGTGAATTCTTGGTAGATTTTTTAATCTAAGTTGGAAATATTAAAGGTTTTCACCATCAGGTTGGAAAGATAGAGCGATTAGAAAATTTGAGTTTGTGACAAAGACTCAATTCCTTACAGACTTTTTTTCTGACGTACTTTTTTAGGAATAAATGCACTTATTGTGGAGGGGATATTGAAGACGATTACCCTACAGGTTGGTCAAAAAATGTTTTTTCATTCTTTTTGACACTTTTTACAGGTTGTTCCAAAAATGTCAAAAAAAAAGATAACATAATAACCAAAGAAATCAAAAATAATCCATTTTACGGTTAAGCGTTTCATCTTGTAGTGTTTTATGAGTATAGTGTTATTATATTTTAAGTTTAATCTAACATACACTGATTTGTAGCAGTCAATGAAAAAGATACAACAGTATTCAAACCTGTATTTAAAATGTATATTGTAACCCATTTATTTTAAACAAAAAGAATATTCATAAATGTTTTAAACTAAATATTCTAAAAACAAACTTTAATTAAAATTCAAATTAATTCTATTCTTCAAAGTTTCATAGCATCTGTATTCAATCTTTTACTTTAATTTAATCATAACTTTTTCTAGCTTTAGAAAAACTGTTTTTGGACATCAGATATTTCAAAAATTAATACCAGTAATAAGCACATTTATAGGTCAGAAATTTCTTTTTGATAATAATTTTTTTTTCAGTTGGAATTCTCTTATCCTTTATATTCCTACCCCTGGGTATAGCGGTCTGCTGCTTCCTCAAAGAGAGAAAATGTGTCATGTGCTCCAGATGTGTCATTTAAAAATACATCAAAATTCACTCAAAGTGCATCAGTCAAAAAATGCACCTTCTGGTCAAAATCTGTCATTTCCAAAGAAAATACTGAAAATGCATTTTGATAGATGCTTTAATGGAGTAAAGACCAGGTGTAAAATACATTGAAGTGATGGAAAAAGTGAAGTTTAAAACAGTTAAGAATAAAATAAAATAAGTCAATGGAAGGTTATGCTACAAGATATGTTCATGTTGAAATGTGGAAAATATTGTTGTAAAATTTAAAGTTATAATTAACTCTTGAAAAAAAATCATATTAAAAGTGTCATGTAATGACAATTCTTATACACACTACTGAAAAAACACACTAAGAAAGTCAATCGTTGTTATTATTGTTATTAAAATTAAGCTTGTCATTTTATCTGTAAATTATGACTCGAACATTCCTTCTAATTTACAACAGTACCCTGACAAGCTTTGACTTATGAGGAATAATGAGATATCCATAATTTTAAATTTAAAATGGGTTATTTTCAATGGTGGTTTCTCTATAAAGTGACAGTTTCTTTCTACTGAAACAATGGAGAAATTTAACACTTTTCAAGCTAAAAACGAAAAGTTTTCTTTAATGGATAAATTTACAAACAGAAGAACACACCCTTTAACCCTGTGTGATGTACAATAGTCCTGTATAAGTTTTCTTTCTTGGATAAATTTACAAATAGAAGAACACTCTCTTTAACCCTGTGTGATGTACAATAGTCCTGTATAAGTTTTCTTTAATGGATAACTTTACAAACAGAAGAACACTCCCTTTAACCTTGTGTGATGCACAATAGTCCTGTATAAGTTTTCTTTCTTGGATAAATTTACAAATAGAAGAACACTCTCTTTAACCCTGTGTGATGTACAATAGTCCTGTATAAGTTTTCTTTAATGGATAACTTTACAAACAGAAGAACACTCCCTTTAACCTTGTGTGATGCACAATAGTCCTGTATAAGTTTTCTTTCTTGGATAAATTTACAAATAGAAGAACACTCTCTTTAACCCTGTGTGATGCACAATTGTCCTGTATAAGTTTTCTTTATTGGATAAATTTACAAACAGAAGAACACTCCCTTTAACCCTGTGTGATGCACAATAGTCCTGTATAAGTTTTCTTTATTGGATGAATTTACAAATAGAAGAACACTCCCTTTAACCCTGTATGATGTACAATAGTCCTGTATAAGTTTTCTTTCTTGGATAAATTTACAAACAGAAAATAATAAAATGTATCTTAAGATGAACTACATGTGATTTATAGATATTACTGTATTACAACTAGATAAGTGATTTCAATTCCAAGATGTAATTACAAGTGACCCTCCGTTTATAGATTAACAACGATATCTTCATTCTCAAAGTTTTTAACTTAGAAAATTGATTTTTTTCAACTGCGGGGTTTCCATAAAATGACTTGTGGATTCCAGAAATTATAAAGGATCTGCCAGGATCAAAGACTCGGCAGTCTAGAAAAACGACGTTATCTTCAACATTATTAATCAGCAAAAAGTTTAAAGGGACTGTTGGCGTACTTTAAGAGATCCTCCAAGCAAAAAGTTCAACGCTCGATTCACAATGGTACCCTGGAAACCTTTTTCTGATAAATACTGGGAAAGATATAGTTTATTATTATTTATTCGGATATTGTTTCCTGCAGTGGAAATGCGAAAGTTAGTTTTACTATTTTGCTATTTTCCCTGACTCAACCCCTGTTGTATGGTTACGTAAAATATTTAATATATAATATGTATGTTGATAGATATATTTACTATATTGTATATAATGTAATAGATAAATATTGCTTTATTATCTCAGTAGAGTGATATGAGCATAAAAAACTGCAGTATTTATTTTATAGATCTAAAAAGACAAGTTTATAAGAAAAACGCTTATATATTATTGCAGAAATAAATGTTTAAGATTTTAGTTTTAATGCAAGCATGAAAATTAATGATTAAAAAAGAAAGAAAATAAAAACAAATTCCTCAGTCTGCCCCTGATTCATAATTTTTATGATTATATATTTACAATCATTTACTTTTACTGATGCTTTCTGAACAGAGAAATACTTCAGGGTCTTTGTCAAACCCTCATTTTTTCTAATCCATATATCTTTGCAACCTGGTGGTTGTATTTTAAACTTGGATTATTTTATCTGACAGAACTCATAGTTTCTATATCTAAGGTCCATTGTGTTGCAAAGATATAAAGGTTAGAAAATAAAGTAAAACAACTTTATTTAAACTTATTTGTGCACTTTTACCTATTCGTCGGGGAAATAATTGAGGGAAATGAGGAAAATAAAAAAAGGGTCAACCCCTAAACCTGGTGTGTTTCAATCATCAATTCATGGTTTTTTGACTCCCACCCGTGCCGTCTTGAATGCAGTGAACGTTAGTAGATTAATCTAATCTGTAGATTAATCTAATCTGTAGATTCATCTAATCTGTAGATTAATCTAATCTGTAGATTAATCTAATCTGTAGATCAATCTAATCTGTATATTAATCTACAGATTAGATTAATCTAATCTGTAGATTAATATAATCTGTAGATTAATTCAATCTGTAGATTAATCTAATCTGTAGATTAATCTAATCTGTGGATTAAGCTAATCTGTAGATTTATCTAATATGTAGATTTTTCTGATCTAAGAAATAAAAAAAAGAAAAAGAAAAAAAAGAAGATGGTAAATTTAAATAGGTATACTAGATGAATTTCTAAATTTTTCTTTTTTTGATTTTTTGCAATATTAGTTTTTCTTAAGCATGCATTATATATGAATTTAGATGCACAAACAGGGTCTTTAAGAAAAAAGTATGTTTAAGAAACTAGGAGCATTTCTTTTATAACAAACTCTCAAATATGAGTTCTGTGTGCATAACCTTTAACTTAAAGGGGTATAGTCAATAATCACATTTTTCCTGGGTTACGCTGTAAATATTTGCTAGATATATATACTTCCATATTAGTTTGAGCTGAAATCTATAAATTGTGTCAATCTTCCAATATTTCCAGAATATCTTATTTTGTCACAAATATCATATTTTTCATTTTCCAGGTTCTTATGGTCACTAATTTAACATGTATCAAGTTGTACCTGCAATATACAACTTTAGAGCTGTACACCCAATTCACAACAGTACACTTAACTTAAACCCTGAGAAATAATTGAAAAGAGGGGTGTTAAATTCACTTTTTTTCTCTGATGGTAAATATAGTAGATAATTAGATAGTTAGTTCTGACTTTGCAACCTTAGTTTAGTTTCATTTAGAAATGCAATTTTTCATTCTTAAAACAACTTTTCTGAAAAAAATAGACATTTCAGAAATGTTTAAAATCTTTTAATCCAACTATATGTTTTGTGGGTTAAACGTATACTTGTATAGAGAATTTGGTTGCTAAGGAATATTTCTATATTTCTATTCTTACTTGAGGGTAAATTTTGTTATTTTATGGTTTATATACCGTACAATATACATAAACAGATATTGCATAAACAACTAATATTAGATTTAAATAAATATTCAATATTTTTAAACAATTCAAATATTTGCAAATCTCAAATATAAATACATAGTTTACTCTATATTTTGAAAATTCTTAAAAATATAAAACTTTTGTACAAAAAAGTCTCTAAGTGTGTCCATATTAAAGAATGAATGTTTACACCCCAACAATCCAACGTTTCACCCTCAATAACAACACAATATACATTTACAAACTTACACTTCATAACAACACAATATACATTTACAAACTTACACTTCATAACAACACAATATACATTTACAAACTTACACTTCATAACAACACAATATACATTTACAAACGTACACTTCATAACAACACAATATACATTTACAAACTTACACTTCATAACAACACAATATACATTTACAAACTTACACTTCATAACAACACAATATACATTTACAAACTTACACTTCATAGCAACACAATATACATTTACAAACTTACACTTCATAGCAACACAATATACATTTACAAACTTACACTTCATAACAACACAATATACATTTACAAACTTACACATGAGGCTTTAAGTAAAGAGAAAACTTTAATGTTGCATAAAGGGTTAAAAATGATCGGATTATGTGACACATTTTAGAGCAATTCTCTTTGATAAATTACGATAATCATGTTAAAGGAACTAGAAATATTAGTTCAAGTGAGAGTTTAATGTTTGATTCCTAACTATGTGTTCTTAATCTCTTAATCTGAGTAACAGTTAGGAAGTAAATTACGATAATCATGTTAAAGGAACTAGAAACATTAGTTCAAGTGAGAGTTTAAAAATATGAATTCTGACAATTTTCAAAAAATAAATCTACAGGTCACTGTTGTTAAATTTGACTCAAAACTAATCCATTAAAATATAATCATAATGCATGCATAAAACAATAAAATTTGAAGGTTATATGATGACAATCAGACATACCAATCTCAGGTCTCTTGAAATTATGTTTACAGTCCCTTTAAAACTTTATGATACCGCAGTTCGATCCTTTGTTTCATTTACTTTCTCATTTAAACTTGTTCTGTTCCAACTCTACCAAGTGTTCCAATAAACTTGTTCTGTTCCAACTCTACCAAGTGTTCCAATAAACTTGTTCCGTTCCAACTCTACCAAGTGTTCCAAAAAATTTGTTCTTTTCCAACTCTACCATGTGTTCCAATAAACTTGCTCTGTTCCAACTCTACCAAGCGTTCCAATAAAATTGTTCTGTTCCAACTCTACCAAGTGTTCCAAAACTTGTTCTATTCCAACTCTACCAAGTGTTCCAAAACTTGTTCTATTCCAACTCTACCAAGTGTTCCAAAACTTGTTCTATTCCAACTCTACCAAGTGTTCCAAAACTTGTTCTGTTCCAACTCTACCAAGTGTTCCAAAACTTGTTCTATTCCAACTCTACCAAGTGTTCCAAAACTTGTTCTATTCCAACTCTGCCAAGTGTTCCAAAACTTGTTCTATTCCAACTCTACCAAGTGTTCCAAAACTTGTTCTATTCCAACTCTATTGAGTAAAATTCCCTTAAATTCCCTGTAAATTATTTGTAAATAATTATGTTATTTTTGGAACACCATTTATTTATGATATTGAAGGTTATTATTTTAGTGCCAGGGCTCGGGAAGGGGAATATTATAATCCGCAATGCAGCAATCATACTTCTGCAAATTATTGCAAACCAGTTTTAATTGCAAACTTAAATGCACAAAATATAAATATTTTTTGTTTTTCAGACCCTAGTAATTTCTTGGTAAAATTAAAGTTTATAAAACAAGGGAAATTCTAAACTTAATTTATTCTTACCTGAAAGGAAAAAACTTAATTTGTAACAAAATGAAACCAAAGTGGCTGAATTTCAATTTTCTGAAGATCGAACTGGACAAAACAAAGTTTTTCAGTGAAATCCTTGGATTTTATAAATTCAATTTACTGTTCTCTCTCTGTCCCATATATTTGTAGATTTGCAAACTTGCAAAAATTGGATTCAATCAGGCTTATTCAAAGGTTTGCCAAAAACCCTCATTTTAAAAATGGCAGAATCCATCAGTAAAATGAACTTTATTAGAAAAGATATTTGTTTATTAAAGAGACTGTTGGCATATTTTCAAGTGACCCTGTGTGTGTACATTGGCTTGTCAGGTTTTCAAACAGCGCCCTTTAAACCTTTCATCAAGTTAAGATTGTTGATATCAAGATAAATTAGTTCTTCATCTAAAGGTTAATTTAATTTTTATTTGATATTCAGGAAAGTGTCAAAATTCAACAAATTTATTAAGTTTTCCGCACTCTCATTGGTTGGAACCCAATCCGCACTCACATTGGTTGGAACCCAATAGGGACATCCAATGAGACGAGTTGACCTTTGAAAACACCATAAAAACGAAAAATTAATTCTTTTAGATTCTATATTTTTTTCCAGAATGATTTTTTATCCCCCTAAGGAGGGTGGGCTGCCGAATTTCCTTTAGAGGAGGGGATGGCAGGACCAGCATACCGATTATTATCTCCAATCCTAGAACTAGAGTGGTTAATCGATTTTGAATTAAACAAAAAATATTTTTTTTAAAACTTTCAAGATTTTAAAATGTCATACATTTTATATGGTTTGCATTATATCAATGGTTGAAAACTTTTATTTGTTCCGGTGAAATGTATAAATGTCTGAAAACTGTCTCTTCTAGTCCTTACTCTTGGAAAATTTGAAAATATAAAAGTAATATAAAGAAATACAAATTTTTATAAGCTACATATATTTCATAAAGGAGTACATGATTGTAAAAGCATAGTTTTGGAAATTTCACAGCCAATATTAAGATTAAAGAGCGAATTGTTTTAGACAGACTGCCATTCTACAATGGCGTCTAAAACGTCGTCTTCCTCTGAGCTGTACTGTTTTAACTCTTTAGATTCGCAGATTTTCTCCAAAATGTACTGCTTGGATTGACTCATCTCGGAGATTTTCTCAGAATTGTACAATTTGGTTTGATCCAAAGCCTGTGTTTGTACAATGTCAGCTGTTTGTTCACTATGTACACTTGGTTCATGGAGTCTCTGGCTTGCCGCACTACAGTACGCAGAATCAGGACTGTACAGTGACGACTGGCTGTACGCAGAATCACAGCTGATTGCCGGCGAAGTCAGCTGTTGCTGTTGTCTCCAAAGATGTGTTGAAGAAGACACTAAATTAGAACTCACTGCAGGACTTGATGAATGGGAAAATGAATTTGAAGAATGAATATCTGAGCCTGGTGAATAATGAATATGCTGTTGTCTGGTGAATTGATGATATAATTCTGGTGAACATCCCGGGTTCGGTGAATATTGTGGAGCATTCAACATGTACATTAGCTGATGAATATAATCTAAAGCATGGTGTACAATATTAACTTTAGACATCTTCTTGTACTGTAGAGCAGTTGGTACATGTTGTCTTAAGGTTTCAAAACTTCTATTAACAGTTTCAACTCTGTTTCTCTCTCTGGCATTTCTCTTAATAGTTTTTAGATCCTGTGTTGGGTGTATAGGGTATCCATGGACTGGATGATAAGCTACTAATTTAGAACGAGCCACCATGATGTACTGTACTGCAATGTACTGCAATATTGAATTTTCGGACTTGTGCTCAAGTTGAGGATCAGCGGTCAACTGATTGTAGATTGATTTAACCAGCGCAGCTATGAAAGATACTTAGAGGGGTCAACCAGGCCGGGTCATAATAATCCCCGGGCAGTGTTCACCAGGCGAGCCAGTACAATTTATTTACATCTAAACCAAATAGCGTGCCAGTCACAATAATGTTAAGTAAATGAACCAAAAAATATATTTATTTATCAAATTTATACCTTGATATAACATATTTAAAACATTTTGTCATGTGTTAAAAGTTCTCTTCAAATAATGACGGTTCTAGAAAAATTGTTGATTTTCTTTTTGTGGAAAATTAAAAGTATCCAGAAGAATTTTTCTGTGGACTTCATTCATAAACTAGCTTGATGAAGTTTACGTCTAAAATTCGATAGATTAAAAGTGTCATGTAATGA